TCTCTCTGGCTTACTTATTCCGTTGCAGGGAAATAGTGACATTGATCAACTGAGCAAAATCTTTACTGCCTTTGGGACTCCAAAAGAAGATCAGTGGCCCGATATGCTATGTCTTCCTGATTATGTTGAGTATCAGTCTGTCACTGCACCTTCTCTACGTTCTCTATTCCCAACGGTTAGTGAGGATGCTTTGGATTTGTTGTCAAAGATGTTCACCTATGACCCCAAGTGTAGAATATCGATTCATGAGGCTCTACAACACAGGTAACTAAAGCTTTTTCTGTGGAGAATGCATAAAAACATGTTATTTAGTTTTGTTCTCAAACCTTTGATTTGTATTTTATAGGTACTTCATATCTGTACCTTCTCCTACTGACCCTTTAAAGCTCCCAAGACCAGTTCGCAAGCAGGACGCTAAATCATCTGATAGTAAACTCAAAACCATTAAAGTGTTGTCACCAGCACATAAGCTTAGAAGAGTGATTCTTGACCGAGGAAAGTCTGGTAATGGTTTCAAGGACCAGAATGTGGATGTCATGAAACAAGCTAGCCATGATGGACAAGCACCAATGTCTTTAGATTTCACTATCTTAGCCGAGCGGCCACCAAACCGACCAACCATCACCAGGTAAAAAAAAACAATTGGTTCAGTCCTTTTGCAGTCAAGCTTTAAAGATCAAAACGTTTGATGAATTCTTGATTTTTGGTTTTGCAGCGCAGATAGGTCTCATCTAAAGAGGAAGCTTGATCTCGAGTTCCTATAGAATATAATGTAACAAGCTTCATCGTCACATGGTTCTCAGGTGTCCATGGCTCTTACTGTCTGGTTCTGTACACCAATATTCATGAAATTTTGTCATATTACAACTCGTGATAACTAATGGATATGACTAATCATTCTTTCTGTTTACAACAAAATAAAAATCACAGAAATCCTGAATTCACAGATGATTCACTAATCATCATAAGAGTTAAGAGAGCTATGATCCCAAACTCATTATTTTATCAATGTTTTTCATTCTCAATTGCTCTTAGGATACAATTAAAACTCCAAATTTACTAGATTATGATCTACTCAAATGCATTAACTTTTGACTAAGAATAAAAGTAGCCTAAGTGGATCAACAGAAGAAAATAGAGAACCACATTACTATGATTCATCTATTAACTTTGTTAAGCTCATTTGCAAACTCCAATGCTTTTCCTCAGACTGGAACTGATTATTCGACAACACCATCTTTGTCATCTGAAGAACCGACTCTGTTTGTAGCTTTCTTTGCCTATCCGTATAATAGAAGAAAACAGAATCACAACATGCAGAGTTTCAAATTCGCTTGATCCGATCGGTTAGATGGTTTTACCTCTTTATCCCAGTTTGTAAATATAGTGACTAAAGAAAGACAAAACACTTGAACAGCCAATGCTGTTACGATTCCAAGCCAAAGCCCCTAAGAAAATGATATAACACCACACAATATTATGGTTTTTGTAATCACTCTTGGGTTTGAACTTGACTATATTCCCAAAAGTACAGTTTTAAGGTTATTACCCAACCACCGATATGGAAATGGAAGCCGAGTAATAAGCCTAATGGAACTCCTACAAGATAATATGATCCAAGATTCACACAAGCTCCAATTTTCTGCCATCCACATCCTCTTGCAACCCCTGTGCAACCATCAATCAAACCAGTTAAACCGGACATATGTAAACCATGAGTCAAAACCAATCTTGTGTACATTCAAGAAAGATTGTGTTAAGAGTGCAAGAACCTGACAGAACACATTGGAGACCATCAAGGAAGTTTCCACACGCGACAATCGGTATCATTGATGCGGCATATGAGATGATTTTAGGGTCACTGCTAAATGCGTGACCTAAGACTTTCCGAATTGACAGTAAAACCGTTACGACAACAATACCCTCGGCGACTGCTATGCCTACAATGACATATACAGCAAGTTTCGCTACTTGTGGATTCCCTGCACCTAACTCGTTTGAGACCCTTATGCTACAAGTCAAATAATACACACAAGTGTAACATTACCATAGATTTGGTTTAGTAAGATTCTTTATGTGTTCTTGTATACTTTTACTAATGTACTGACCTCGCAGCGCCACCAAGACCAACCGAGATCTGCCAGATTGTTAGTGAAGTATTTAGACTGAAAAGTTGCACAAATTGCGTTGATCAATTATAACAAGCAAGTCCAAACAATAACAACAAAAGACTATGATAACAAAACTTACCAGACAAAGGTACAGAGAGTATTAGAAGAACAAACATTGCTCTTTGCATTTGAATNCCTAGTTTCCCGTACATTTTTGCTCCGTACGCTTGCCAACAAGGCCCAACCTAATAAATTTCCAAAATTCAAGCCTATTAATTTGTACAATGCAGGCCCAAATCTTATAATAAGGCCCATTCAGTGTATTGTCGTCACGCGCCGATTTTTTTTTCCGCATTAATTGTAAAATTGCAAATTTGCAGGCTTTTTGATTCTTCTTCAACCCCTAAAAGACTTAAGATTTATCTCTGTGCAGAGAAATGCTTCAGCCAAGTAGTCACTACTGTTCCTCCATAGATGTAG